TATAATGAAGTGTTCTACAAGGCTTTATAGACATTAACCTTTTTCAACATTAGCTGCTGCTCAAACAGCAATATAATTGTTTCAATAAATGTTCAAAGATATAGTTCTAGTTTTAAAAAAATTTGCTAGATTTACTTTTATATATTCTTCAAATCTAATATTCATACTGAAAATAACTTCAGGGCATAAATAAAATGTAAAATGAAAAATTTGATCTGTAACTTTTCTGAAATGATTTTGATAAATTGTTCATTATAAACAAGTGCTCCGAAGTGACATTCAGTTTTTCAAAATTTGTCAGTCATGTGATTTTATATATTCTTCCAGAATCTAATAGTCATACTGAACAATTCAGTGCATAACAAAATATTTAAGGCAAAATTTTGTCTAAACCTTCATGATAAATGGTTCATTATAACAGTACTCAGAGGTGAAGTTAAGTAAAACCAAGATGTCTGACAAGTAATATGCAACATGTATAATGAAATGATGTTATTAGTAGTAATAAAATGTTAAAACTGACAAGTTACAGACATGACCAGACAGACCACGCTCAATAAATCACTTGTGTATTCTAGACAGACACAAAAAACAGTTGACCCTTGATTGTGAGGTGAAATGAGAAGCAGGGTAGTGTCAGAACTTGAGTGAAGCCCATTAATTTTGATTTCTATAACATTGCTCATCTAAAAATCAATGGAAAGATCTCTCCATAATAAAAATACAGGATAAATTGGGGTGATTACTGAGTTTAAATTTGTATTCTGATTACTGTGTTTAAATTGATCTGGGTTGTACTCTCCGAAAAAATAGTCATGAAATGTTGTTTTTTTCTTACTCTGAACTCAATTCAAACCTTAATTGCCTGGCAAAATCAAACTTGTGGTCCGACTTGTCCTCTTTCACTACCTTAAGACAGTGTTCCAAACTAGCAATAAAGGAAACATTGAATTGTACGCATTTTTAAAGTTGTTAACCCCACCTATTGGAGATATGGATGCTCTTTTAATGCTTAAAGAACTTTGAGGAAATTGACATGACATTGTTCATAACTGTCATGAAGTCATAAGTTGACATAAGATAGTCTGTAGGGCATACCATTGTACGTGATTGTGCTAAATATCAGAAAGACCTTTGATAACATGGTCCCTTATCAAACATATCTATATGACTTAATACAGTGTTATATCATCAAGTAGGCAATGTTTACTTCAATACTTCACCTCAAGTATAGACATTATCATACTGATATTATATCAAATTAGTCTTACCCCTGACCCGTACTTACACCCCGAAATCACTGCATGGCAAGATAAAATTTCAACTGAACTCTTTTACAGAGTAGGCTCTATTGTTGTCTGTGATAAATTAATATAAATGAAATGCAACAATCTGCTAAAATATTGCAAATATCCTAAGTTAAATGGATTTTAAACTTTTTATGTGTATTGGGGACACAGATAGCATTGATTTGAACCATTCCAATTTTTGTGACTTCTGTGGTTCATGCGATTCAACTCAAACTTGTATGTTCTATGGCATCATTATTGTAAAGATTCTTAGATATTGTTAAGAGCTTCACAACTGAAAATTCATAAAAAAAAATATTTCCTTCTTATATAAAATTCTCAACTAAAATAACCAAGTTTAAACTTCGATCCATTTCAGAGAGTTAATTTCATCTTAACCTGTCTAAATCAAAACCTAACATAGACCAAAATCAATGAAACCCTCTTAAAATAATATCTTTCTGAAGACAGTAGACACTAATTAAATTGTTATGAGGTGAAAGGTATAAGGAAAAATTCTTCTTAGTGAGATTTATCAATATTCTTAATGCACCCAAGTTTACCAGAAACATTCACTCTTACTTAATCGGTGGGTTCATATTGCCATCTGGTTCATCAACCAATTATGCTCTGTACAAGTGTTTGTAGTAGTGAATAGTGCTGAGTATTGCCAATTACGTCATGATACCTAACATATCATGAAATAAGGGCTAGGATAGCTGGATACCTATCGCAAAATGGGCTAGTAGATAAAATGTAGCATTTTCAGTGTCTTTTTTACTGCTGTATGCGATATGATAAGCTAATATATCGATATCACGTAAATGACACGTATTGCAATACATCCATTCACCGATATATCGTGCATTAATTCATAATTCTAATGTTTGGTTAAGAGCTGTATTTAAGAATTCCTAATAGAAATATGATTTCTCATGACAATAGGCGGCAGTAGATTCTTTTGAACTACTACATGTAGCTTTATTAATCATTCAAAATTTTAAGAAAAGCAGAAAATCGACTTGCTATTGGAAGAATTGACTTATAATATGATGATTAATTGAGCATGTGAATTGAATCCGATTTCAATGAATATAAAATTGTTACAGATAAAATGATGCTCTCAGAATTATTAATAATGATTCAAAAAACTACAAAACAGCATGATAAAACAAACCATCCCTGCTTCTCTTGCTGTAGTTATATTGATAATATAGAATAGAAGCCACAGAATTCTCTCTAAAAGGCTGCTATGTCTAAACAAGATTGAGGGGGCTTAATGCAGCTTTAAAATGAAAATCAATGCAGCCAGAGTTATTCTATTCTCTTAAATGGTTAAAACCTGTTGCTACTGATATTTTGTGTAAATACACTTCGTCTTTCCGGCAGCCATCTAAATCCGTTCATCTTACAAATGTCTCTTGTTTTTTTATTGTACTTAGAGGAATGGCGCTATAGGAATTAAACGAAAAATAAGTCTGTTTTGTGTAGCTCTCAATTCTAATGACAATTTAACATTAATGTCATGACGTTCTCGAATTGTAACTCACTTTATTTCAAATAAAAAACAAGCACTATTTTATTCTTAATTCTTCACGAAAGCCATGCACGTTACAGTAATTTTTTTTAACTTTGAGAAACAAATCAATTTTAATAATGTCGACTTTCTATGGCAGTCATCTGAGGCATGGAAGACATCTATTTGGATTTGTAGCAATTATCTTCTAGGGAATTTTAAACGAAGTGGAAGTCAAGCACGCAAACAAAATTTTCCATCCATTAATAGGCATGTTAAGAATAATAAACCGTATGCAATATGTAAATGTAAAGAATAAATGTCGGTTTTAAGTATAAAATGCCATGTTGTCTAAATATGGTGTAGTGTTTTTTACCATTGATTACTAGTCAATCTAAACAGTCTTCTAACTAGTCATTTTCCTGTCTGTAGAAAGAGCCGTTATTTATCATTGCAAATATAACATCAATACACTAATTGAATTTAAATTGAACTTAATTATTCCTTAGTATATTTTTCAAGTATTTCAGTGCAGATATTATCGGTCGTAAAAATTTCTACAAAAGAAAATGCAATTAGTCATATGCATTTGATCAATTTTCTTGGCTTGATCAAATACTTTCAGAAATGATTGTTATTTATTACTTTCTCATACATTTTAATATATAATGCACTTAGTTGCATTTTATTTTCACATTTTCTTGTAGAAATAATATCATTTTCATTCTAAAATTACTGGAAATTTAGGTCATTCTTACAGAATTTGTAAATGAAATGAAATGAAATTAGTTTTATGTTCTACTTTCCTGCACTTAATAGGTTGATGAGTACAGAAAATGCCATACAGTGTGCAATGAGGGAAATTTTGCTGAGACAGTGACATTAACCTTTTTTTTTATAAATTTCAAACAGATATTTCACATGCAGTCTGTGGCATCTGTAACCATCTAGAAACTATCTATACTGCACATCAGAATTGTATCATATATCAGGTTGAAAGCCATGATTGGACATATTGATAGCATGCAGTATTGATTTCAGTTTATGTTGAGCTACAAAGCCTCAGTTATCATGCAAGTTTGCCTGCATAATCAACTTAGAGCAATATCTTGAGCTGTCAGTACACACAATTGAATGAACAATTGATGGAAAAAACAACATGTATTTAATTGTTAACTTGATTGGTTTCTTGAAGTCAATGAGAAATTATGATGAAGGCTTCTCGTGTAATTGTATACTTTGGCTTCCTTTGGTTTATAATTAATATTACAACAGTTATACCTGTTGAAATTTGGTCATTCAAAAAATAATATTTTTTAACCAAGTTTTTTCAATAATTGATCAACCTTTAGACCTTCTTCAGAAGATGTAATAATGTCAAAGTTTATGACCACACTTTAATACCCTTTCCAAAGTTAGCAACCTATTATGGTAAAAATAAATTCAAGATATCCACTAAAATGCACCACACTGTTGTGGCCACTGGAAGGAATGCCTACACTCTGCCATGAAAGAAACAATTACTACAAGAGGCTGCTATCATCTTAAGTTCTCTATGCTGAACATGAAATCATGTTCCCTGATCTACATGTATAATGTATATCATTAAATTGACTATTTTTTTCTTAATATGACAACTTCAGTGTTGTGTAACAGAGGTGCAACATAAAAGTATGAAAATATGGTGACATCTGCCCCTTTTTTTTCATTAAAGTAATTATTGCATGGTTGGATTTCATTATATATATAGTATTCATAATCATAAGTCGGTTTCATGATCACATTTCCTCTATAATTAAGTATAAAGAGTTTGCAATGTTTGCGTTAAAGTGAATTAAAACGAATCTCATTGAAAACGCATGCCTTTATATGAAAATTAAATGTCAATAAAGTTATTAATATGGCCTGTTGTTGATAAATCCAAATTATAGTAAGTCTGATGAGAATTGTCAAGAATGCAAGTTTCTGTATTATAGTAATGATAGTCTGTTTAATAATATTTTCATCAACACAATATCGGCACAGATTAAAAGCAGCTTTTCGAATAAACTTTAAAAAAAATTGGCAAATTTTGATATACTAACAAAATTGCAAGGACAGTATGTACTACTAAAACAAGTCCTTTGATTTGATTAGAGTCAGTGTATTGTCATTAACTTCCTGTATTGAACTAAAAGACAATGAGAGTTACTCACCCCTGATTCTTCCCGCTCTTTCAACCTCCTCACTTCTGCTACTAATTTTTCTTTTTCTTCTGCTGCCTCTTGTAATCTACATTCACTTTCTATTCTAATTCGATTATTTTCTTTCTGAAGGAATTTTTTCTTCTCTAATTCCTCTTTAAACCGATTTTTCTGGGCATTTAATTCCTAGAAAAATTATGTGTTGCATAAGGTAAGATTTGAACGACATTTAGAAGTAGAGAGTACATAATATACATATCAGATCCACAAGAAATATTTTATTGCATATCTCACTTTTTGTCATAACAAAGTACATAAATTTTCAAAGCAATTTACACAGGTCACCATCAGATGAAAATCATAAAAGTAATTCGTATTAATCTAGTTTGATTCTTGTTTTGAATGGTCATATCAATATAATCTCACAGGTTTTATATACCCATTCCTATAATCCTGATGTTGTCAAAATAATATTGTTGCTTTATGTACGTGTATTTACTTAGATATTCTCAGGTACATGTTTGATTACATTTACACACACAAAGAATTCTTTCAATTGATGCTTTTTAAAACTTTCATTTTTATCAACAAATAACAATGTAAAAAAATAAGAAACTTACCCTTGTTAAAGATTTCTTTGCGTGGTTAACTGTGTTTAAAATCTCTTCATGTGGAACACGTAATTTTGAATACTCATGAAGAAAGTTGTCTTTAGCTTCTTTGGTATTTGGTATTTTACCATCCAGAACTCTTCTGATCATCTCAATTTCTGCCTCCAGGGTGCTATCTACTTCTGGTATATCTGGAAACGTCACCTCATCACCAGCTTCAAATAGACAAAGAACTGTTTTTAGGGAACTAACAAATTAAGCGAAGATATAACTGATCCATAAGAATGATTAATCCAATGGTTATAGAAAATATCTCTAGAATCTGAACGCCTCAAATTCAGTTTAAAGTTTTTTAGGAAGGGGATTTAATTTTAAAAATATCTGAACAGTAGGATCTCTGTAATTTGTGTTTTTTATAATGAGGTAGAGAAAGGACAGATTTTAGAAAGATTGATCTACATATGAATTTCGCTACCAATGTTTTGCAAAACTCTAGATTTTGGATGAAGGGTTTCATTTTGAATTTTAGATCCGAATGTACATTGTGCATTTTTGATCAATACTCATTCCACCTGATGACTCCATTTGAGTCATGTTATCATGCAAATAATATCATGCAAAAATTCCAACAATCTAACTGTCCACAATGATCAGATTAGTCCTTGAATGATTAAATACTGACCATCTGAAGGTGATGATTGTTCTAAAGATGAATCATCAGTGTCAGTAGGAAGATCATATTCACGATAGTCTTTATTATTAGTTGTACCACTAGTTGATGCTCGACTGGACGACTCTACGCTCTTCGTACTTGGACTGTTCTTGGTACACTCTTCGGGGCCATCTTCTTCTGATTTATCTGTTTTTGATACTGGGGGTGCCAGAGACACATTAGGTGTAAAATGTCTTTCATATCTGTAAAGACAAACAACCAAAATGTGAAGTTTTATTTCGAAATTAAAACAAAAACCACCAACACTACAGGTCAAAAGAAATTCCATGAACACTACTCTCTATAGGTTGGCATCTACATTGGTAAACATACATCTAACATATTGGTTAAAGTACATTCTATAATAGGTCTTTCTTAGTGCAAGTGCCCTATTGTTACTGTCCTGACAATAATGCTCATATCACTAGTCATTCATCTTGTTTAGAATTACTGACCCCCTATTATTATTTTTGAAAATATGATTGCAATACCCCAAATTTCACTCCTTTACCACTTTAAGAATGAAAAAGAGAAAAAAATAGGCAAGATGTTAATTTGATAAGTTGAGATGACAAGATGTCCACTTGACAGAGAAATATTTCTTTCTAGTCTATTGTTCGGAATGTTTTATTATTACCTATAGCCGGCTGTCTTTAGTACTGAGCTAATAATATGTTATTTCACTTGACCATAGTACTTTTGTGTTGGAGTGTGAATTGTTATTAGAGCTTTATAAGTAAGTTGACAAATATTATCTAAGGATAAAATGAAAGGCCAATTTTGAAGATTAAAAATTTAAAGTGAAAGTAGAGTAAAATCTTAAAAATTTACTGTTCACATTAAAAATGATAAACAAGTAACCCTATTATGATATTTGGGGAGTTAAAAATTCCTCAGTCTACTTTGCGTAACAGTAAGAGCAGAAATTGTGTCTGTTGATGATCAAAGTGCATCTTGAGAAAAACATACACATACGTTAATCTAGAAAGTTATTTTAAGTTATTATCTTGTAGACCAATGACCATGGAGGGAAATTCAGCTGGTTCAATTATTCAGGTTGTCTTCACAGCAGCTTGTGTCAGGTGAACATAACCTTGGGTGTATTAGAGTAATCACCAATGTGACTATGGTCAATGGACAGGGATTAATAGGTCCCTATAGTGTATGTGCAGCTGGCTTGAAGTCTATTGTAAAGTGAAATTTTATACATCCTTCATTCCTGTCTCTTAAACTTCTGGAATCTTCTAGTCATTTTTAAATATATTTCATTACAAGTTGAGACAAAATAATTTTTATAAATGAATTATTGCTGTTGTTTCCAACATAATTTCAGAACAAGTCACAGAACTGGTGTATGACTTCATAATCTTTTATGATCTTTTTTTTGTTTATGTATTTTTTGGACAATTCTGTCATCTGCTTTGCTGTAATTTTCATTCACTAATATAATTTAGTAAATTGTATCATGTGAATTTAAAGATTGACCATGACCAAGCTTAGTATGTCAAAATTTTACAAATTGCTTATAACAATAACAATGGTTCTAAAATTGTAATACATTGATTAGGTCACATATATGTAGTTATATTAAAAGTTCAAGAGATATCAGTCATTAAGTCATATTGACATAAGATTATAATTGATTTCATCTTTCACTTTTAAAAATCTAATCTTAAAAATCAGCTGCTATGATAATATTTAATGGTTTGATATTATATTAAGACTGGTTGAAAAAGTCTAGTCATTTGGATGTGACACTTGACAAAAGAACAATTAAGACTAGAGAAACTAATGCCTTCGTACAGTAAAAAGTTTTTCCTCCACTGTATACTGCATGGCATTGTTATATCAAATACAAATACTATGGTAGATGGAATCTAAGTAACTTATTTTATTTAATGTACAAATTGTAAACATTGCCAATACATTGTTTATAGGTAGTCACAAAAGCAAAACAAAGGGTGTTTTTTTGGAAACAAGCCGATTTTTTCTGATTTGATTTTGGCATTTCTTTGAAGATAAACATCGTCTAGGTGAATTTAATACACAGGTAGAGAGCCAATAAGAATACATATATCCATAATGTTAAAAATTATTAGGAGAAATTATAATATAACCCTGAATATACTGAATCTGAATTGATGCAATCCTTTCAACTACTAAGACCCTGACCACGTTAATGGGGCATAGTATTATTTTGAACCTAAAGACAAGTACTTGAGTGACAGATTCCAAACAAAAAAAACGGAATCGTGTTGAAATTCTTTCTTCTTTTTACACAGATTTATTAATTTTAAGATACATGAATATTTATTTTTTTCTGTCATAGTGTATACATGTCTTCCTTGTTTTTTATCATCTTACTATATTATCAAAATAGTCAGACTTCTATTATGTCTGATTGGATGTCCCATATATGATGAACATGTCAAGCTAACAATCTGCTGTATACTTCCTCATTCTTATCACCCAACTGTCACCTGTCACTACACTAATGTTACTTTGGTCATAGAAGGTATATTAGAATAATGTTGTAGAGGTATGGGGATGATCTAAAACCACAGCCCCAGGAGGGATCAATTGGATTCAGGGGTATCATTCAGCTGGATACCCTACATCAGTATACTACATTATAAAAATGATAACAGCTTAGATGATTCTAAAAACAAGATAATGTGGAGTCAGGGAATGCCATAAAATGTTCTGTAACTGTAAGCATAACCTGCCTTACCAGTGACACTGACAACAGTAATTAATATATGTAAAGATGACAATAACACTATAAATAGGATAATGCTTACCTTTCTGATTCTGAGTATGGAATAACACGTTCTGGATGTAATAAAACAGGTGGCCCAGTATGTAAATAAGATGGTAAAATACCAGTTAACCTGAAATATATAAATTTTTAATCATTTTTCTATGGGTTTGACAATTTACATTCTTTTTTTCTTTGGTTGGACAAATTTTCAATAGATTTTCCTTGAGATTTGACACATTTTCAATCATTCATAATGTTCCTTCATATGACAAATTTGTTAAGAAGTAATGAATAAAAAAAAAAAACACGACAACTCCAAACTGTCATCAAAAAATCCAGACAGATTCTTTCTGTCAATAACAGGAGAAGGTAGAAAGGGCTCACTTGAGAACCAAGAAATCACTTTGCATGTCTAATGAATTATCTTCTACTACTTTATTGGGAATTTTTTGTCACTGTCTATAATGCACATGCTCAGTTTGACATGTTCTTTTAAGGCTCAAAGACTATGTGGAAGCAAGTATACAGCAACAAGAAGTAAGCTCAGTTTGTCAGCATGATGACTGACAAATTTAAATTGAAACTGAAACATTTTTGAAGTAGTTAAAGACTTTCTAATATATTATAGATCAGAGAGACAACTATAAAAAATAATTGTAGATAACAAAGTGAAGATTTGCGTGACAAACTCGACAAATTGATTAGATAAATATGATATTCTATTTGGCTATAATTTGAAATAATAAATAAATCAAATATTGATAATTCATTTGTTAGAATTGATGTGCATGCATGACTTTTCCGTCTTTGATATACCAACAATCACTGGAACCATCGCTATTACTGATTAAACTGCGTGTTAAAAGTTTATTGTTTCCAAAGATGGCGTCACTGATTGCGACTGATATACCTCAATCTCACGAGACGCTAAATAAACGTAAAAAGAAATCAGTCAAATGAAAAAAAAAGATCTTTGGGGAATCAAATGGGAAATTGCTTTACGCAATGCAAGAATATTCGATAATATCAATCTTTAGAATTCTAGCTTCACATCTTCCAATTACAATCAAACTGATAAGAAAATTTGATCAACTTTTCAAAAGCTTTCATCATTCAATTCTTTTTTAAAAATTTTTATCAATGCATCAGTGCTGAATATTAAATATTAATTATGTGCAGATTGGAACCAGACACGATATAGATGAAATTAAACATGGTTCCATTGTTCTGTTACTAACTATATCATATACTATTCTATATTAAAGAGAAGATCACAGAGCATGTATTGAAACTAATATAAGATTCTTTTAAGTTTATGTGATTTTACAATCTCTAATTTGTCAACCATCTTATAATCAATAAATAAAAAAGCAAAAGAAAGGACATTGAAGCTAATTATCTCTTGATTGTTGATATCAACACAAATTAACAGCAAAATAGGGGTACTGAGCATTTGAATATGCAGTCTCTTAAACTTGCTAATAAATCAATTTACATGTACATTTTTTTTTCTACAGGTAGATATTGATATAAGCTTATATTACAATATGTAATTAGAGGTTTGATATATAGATCTTTAAATAAATATCAAGTAACTAGAGCTGATAGTTTCATCTATTCATTGATGTGTATACCACTGTACACAGAATAAATTAAGGGTACAAATTGATGGTCCCCTGCTTGAGAATTGTGCTAGTAGTAAACATCAAGTAATTTGAGCTGATGGGTGGTCAACTTCAGCAGGAGACCAACAATTTCTGGAAATGTGCCCCGATGTACAAAGAATAGGTTATGTACATCAGGGTACAAATCAATTGGTCCCGTTTGTGAATTACATTACTAGTAAACATAAAGTCACTACACATACCCCTCTCTCATGATTGCAGGAGCTGGCAATAATTTGCCTTCTTTGATAGCACTAATAACATTTGGAGCCCATGGTTGGAAGGCAGAGACAGTTCGCATACCAGCATCCTGCCAAGCAGAAACTTCCCCTGGTGATAAGCAAACTTCTCCTTTTAATCTCTTCTGTAAAACACTGTCTGTTTCCACACTCTATAATGTAAAATAGTTAAATCATATTAAACAAACAGGAATGAATAATCTACAAGTATGTTTACAGTCATTTAAACTTGCAAAATTATTTTGCTTAATAATAGCTTACTTTTTAGAGCTTAATAAATTGAATTATGAGCAAAAGATAAATCCAATGAATAAATCAAATGGTGAATGAATAAACAAATCAACTAATAAGTTATCTAATCAACTTTCACAGTTTTTCATTTGGGGACATTTAAGGATTTTTCTTTCAAATCTATGAATGGCAATCTAATGAAACTGATGCAAGAAACTACTTGCTACACATATCTAAAAGATGAACAGTTAATAAATACCTATTGATAAATACATATTTGAAATTGGATCAAAAATTAACACTAATGGATATAAATCATAGAGTACTGTTTCAACTTATAAACAGAATATATCCTAGGTTAGTGGATCAAGACTTTACATCAAATGAATATATAACATAGAAAAATGTTGCAATGAATAAATGGACCTAAATCTATGAAATTTATCTTGCTCAATAATTCATTGAGTTATTAGCATTGGATAACTTTACATCAAATGGATATACATAATACACAGATTAATGTTGCATTGAACAAATGGATCTAAACCAAGGGAATAAAACCTTGCACCAAATGGATTTATAGATATATATTGCAATGAATTCATGGATCTAAACGAAGAGAATAAATCACAAGGTTGTCATGTTATTTTATTCAGGCTATTAATCATAAGCTTACATCTGATCAACAAGATAGTTACACAATATTTGCTCACTATGATCTGTTGATACAGACATAAATCAAGTTTACAGGAGGAAGCTAGAGTCAATATGAATACTGGAGGTCTATAGTAATTATTATCACATTAAATTATAATTTATCAGTTATCTAACATGTTATACACATATTGTTTGACCATAATATAGTGTCCATTTTCTTACATTAGATTAAAGGATAACCAAAATAGTTTCAGGTATAATTAATTCACAGAAGGGTCGTTTGATCAACAAGATATCAAATCCTCAAATCAAACACAGAGTAATTAAGTATTGAAATGTTTATTGTTTTCTACAGAACTTTTTCCATATAAATTTATAACAGGCTGCCTTTTCTAAAATCACAGACGAACGGTAGTACAGTTCAAGGGCGATTTCCAGGTTCTTATCCAAGTTAAAATGAGGCAAAGGAGGGCTTTGGTGGATTTATAATTTACATTATTATTAGCCACTATGGCCTTGATTCTTACTTAACCTAATGATATACTTCAAGAAAACCAGAATTGATGATGTTTTTGATTAAAATTAAACTCTGTGATGAACTCTAATGCCTTGACTTTATAACCACAAAACCCCCAGCAGACAGGCAATATAAATGAGTATAATCAATTATTATCAGTGTCTGTGTGTGTATATATATATATCTATCATACTTATCTGACCTCACTCACACCACTGGTCAGTTTGTTTAGTATATTTGATCAAACCACCAGACACACAGTCTGCGTTATGTAAAATGACCAAAAGTTATCCAGAATTACTATGGTTAGGAAAACATAAACAACAGGGAGATAAGAAAAGAGACTGGCATCTTTATCAGTAGGTTGATAAGGTGACATGATTTAGAACTTCAGGTCAACCAGAACCTTGATTCCATTTAATGGATCCAGATAAGACCTTTATCATTTTCTCCATTTTTTACTTGATGTCTTTACAAATTGCAAATTTGATTCCAAATTTGTTTTCTGACAAAAAATAATTGTAAGATTTTTTGGTGTAAGCCTAAACTCTAAAAAAAAATAACGGTACATAAAATCCCAAAAGATCAGTTCCTTAATCTTAATCTTCAAGAATAATTCTATTTCTTAAGTAGGTGAATGGAATTAAAGCTATTTCAAAATATATTGAAGCCACATCAATCATTAAATTATCTTTAATGTTCTAAAGGTAACACAAACAGGCGAGAGTTAGATTCTCTTCCGAGACTTGTCAGCTTATAACTTCCAGTCATTCATCAAAATTTCTAATATTCCTCACTGGAAAAAAGAAGCTTGATATATAATGCATGAGTTGGAGAGAGTGAGTGGGGTAGAGTAATATCAGAATTAGATTTTTAGTCTCTTTAATCAGACATTATAGGTGGTATCAGAAACTCAGTTGGCTTCCAGTAGAAATATCCTTGTTCGCTACACGGAACAGAATTTATCATTCATTTTCTATTTGATAATCTGTATTTCATATGCTCTTCTTCAATCAGTGAATTTTGACGTCAGATTATCAAGTATTTTTAAATGAAAAATTGTGACAATCTAGTCGACTACTTGCACTATTGCAGCAACAAGACAACTTCCAGTCTAATGTTGGATAATCAAGACTACTTTCAGCACTATTAAGGAAATATGTCTGATGATAAAGACTACTTTCAGTTCAACAACTGATGTCTGATAACCAAGTATATATTACTTGCACTATTTCAGAAACAATGTGTCTGACAATCAAGTCTACTACTTGCACTTATCAAACAAGTGTGTCTGATGATCAAGACTATTACATGTGCAACTGGTCTTCTATTCAAGAAACAAGGTGTCTGATGATCAAGACTATTACAACTGGTCTTCTATTCAAGAAACAAGGTGTCTGATGATCAAGACTAGTCGAGAACAAGATGTAACAGGAAATTGCTCAAGATCTGGGACGAGAAAAACAACAGATGCATGATGAATGGTTTAAATTAATTCACAAAAAAGATTTGACCTTGAGAATGAAGGTTTAACTTCATACAGTCATGTTGTAAAATCACTAGTGACAAATGCCTCTGGGGTATATTTGGGTGGATTTAAATAACAACAAAGACACCAGTGTATGTCAATTAAATTTTTCTTTTTATTCTGTTTTCTGTTTTAAAATATTTTGCAGATGTTTATGTCTTCCTTTTATAGTTTTGCACTTGATAGATTCTAATTCTGATCAGAGATGTTATTGCGCATACTTAACAAATCTGAAACACAATATCTTAGATCATATATGCATTTAACTTTTATACAGCAGATTGCCTGGTACTATGCACATTATCATTAACAGTAGAAAAGCATTTTCATGTATAAAAATTTTATCTTCATGCAATCACAAATCAAAGCAAAATGATATTTGATAAATTTTGTATTTGTCTCCTATAAACCACAGGTGTTCTTTTTTCTGTTAAACAACATGCAGGTAAATTTCAAACTTGTGTAATTAGACCGACATGTACCTTGAATCCTAAATTGCATCTTATAAGTCACAGTCAGTAAGTGGATAAAAATAGTTCAATGGTCAATGGTCACCCTGCAACATATAAGAACATGAATACCAAAGCCAGGAGTGTGTAACAAATAAGTGCCTTCTGCAGTGCCCAGTGCACTACATTGCCAAGATAGCAATACTGTCTCACACAGTCATTAAGGCAATGAATTCAGTTCCAATGTCATCCTGAAAATAAATGTCAGGAGCCAGGAGTCTGTGGAAAGAGAAAGTGCCTTCTGCCCGGTGCATTCCATTGCAAATACAGCATTAAATTTACTGTACTTGGGACATAAAATAAGAAGTCAGATACACTAATAACCTTCAATTGATAACAGAACGGCCGTTCATTTTATTTTATAACTGTTGATTATCTTGGCTTTGGCAGGTTGTGATTAATCAGAGACCAAGCTTTGTTAATGAAGTTAATAGGTATATCTTGATACAGACTACCCTCTCCATAACAACAAAAACAGTCAATCTAAAGAGAAAAGATGGTGATATAAAAAAGGAGGTTATCAGTAGATTCCTGGAGGGCACAAGTTATCAGCCAACATTGGCAGGTGTCTATATGTTAAAGCTGTGTTTTTGGTCTGGCAGGGTTATCTGACTAATAAACTTGAGTTGCTATCCCTTGATATTATCAACTTGTACTATACTATTAACCTTTAGGCACAACCAACAAAACAGTCAGACCACTCATTTACAGTATATTGTGGATTATCCTCATTTACATCTTGTTTACATATTGACCTTTGCATATAAAAAATACAGCTTAATTACCAAACACTGTTAAGTTTTATAGCCTAAGTTTGCACATAGACTAGTTACAGTACTGTGAACATTGAAAGACTAGCCAAACAGTGAAAATAGATAAAGCTTATACAGGAGGAACAATGTCCTGACTTGTACCTCAAGTATTAGCTGTTATCTTTTAGTGTTTCAGTAATCCTACACAGTGCTGTACCTTTACAGGTGTTTCTTGATTATCAAACTATAATGGCAATGCTAATTATTCAAATTCCGCTAAATTCTAAGCTTACAGAGCAAAATGACAGTTACACTACTTTAAACTGCTGCCACATATATGCAATGTCATCATTGTTTCATGCTATCATATATTTCTAGAAAGTCCTTGGCTAACTCTTCAAAATGATAATATTTGAGACTATTGACAATGATACCATCACCATCATATTATCTGTCACTGTCCAAGTGAGTGACAAGATTGGTAATAAAAAAATCAAGATGAACTGTCTACATTCTGACAGAATTATTCTACCTTATCAGAGAACATCTTGATGATATGGACAACTATCATATTTCTTGGCTTCTATAATATTTCTCAGTTTTCCTCTTATTTGATGCCTGAATTGTTTTTATATCCATGATATATTTTCAAATCAAATGGATTGTAGAAAGGTTTTTTATGTGTACGAGTGATTCTTTTAGTTTTTATTTGAACAGTACCAATTTTCACTCCGATGTTCGTGCAATTCCACTAATAGTAATCGTTTTATGACATCACTATCACAAAAGCTCCTAGTTATAATATATCTCTTAGTTTTAGTGGAATCGCAAGACCTACAGATGTCTGAATGCTATTAATGTCCAAAATACACACATAGAGGTTTAGAAAACCTTTATAAATACTTGTTTCAAAATTAAAATTTTAGCACTGTATTCTCTAATATTTCTTATAAAATTTCACATCATAAAGTAAGGGAGGTTTAAAGTACAGATACCACACTTGATATTTAAAAGTTGTCAACAAGTCGTGAAAAGAGATTAAGGAACTCCCAAGATACTATTTGATGTTTGAAATCAGATTTCAAGGGAAATAGAATGTGGATCAATTGAGTTGATGGCTACCAGGCATTGTGGTTTACTATGGCAGTCTTATCATGTTTAGACAGAAGATTGGTATGGAGTTGTTGTTCACATCATATTAGCTGGGTGGAGTTTAAGATAAACAAGATATTTGTGGCCAGACTAACGTCTATTATTACACTACTACTGACTTGGTTTAGTACTCGGTACCACCTTATCATTTCTACTAAACAATACTGATAGTGTATTTTAGGTTCTTGTCAAAAGATAGTCAACAGACACCTCATTTGTCTTTCTCATCTATTAACAAGGTATTTAATCTGATTGCAATGAATCTGGATTATGTCATAGTAGATTAGGGAGAAATGTGACTCTTTGTGATCATCTTTAAAGACATGATATTGAGGGAGCATTAATAGGCATGAATTTTCTGAAGTTATGAATTAATTTCAAAATTTGAAGGCTAGACTTGATTCTCATGAATCATCTTCAGTCATAAGATAAGCAATTTGAATGGTTAGAATGGAGCCTAAAATGAATTTATGAAGTTGATAAGGATTTGAAATTTGAAAGTTACATTTGAAATTTGAGCAATATGATACTCAAGAGTTTTAATAGAATAAGCATTTTCAAGGTTAGAATTTAGCCTTGGTGGGCAAGGTTTCTCTGAAATCATCTTATGGATTTAACTCATGCAGCAGTACTGCACTAACTACAATTCTGCTTAAATTTGACAACTTGAAAGATAGTTAAACCCTGATATGTAAGTCTACTACTATGCCCATTGTTTCCCTTCAGATGTTCAATAGTATAGTAGACATATAACTATCCTTGGAAGAACTCTGCATTGATGGATTTCACCATAGTGGATATCCTAACACGAATACACAGAAGAGAGCAATTTACTAGGAGGAAGCATTTCATCTATATGGATATAGGCAATATCAGAAGAGAGCAATTTCCAGAGTACAACCAGAAGGCTTAATTCAAGATGTCTGCCTATTACTACTACCTCTTATCACCGGAAGAAAAGAACCCATATTTCTATTTTGAACTTTACATGAAAAGATTGACAACATTTTGTGTGAGACTAAAAATAATATCCAACAAATTTCTTATGGCTTCTACAAGACATCTTAATGCATGTCTTTTCTTGTTAAAATACCATTAGAAATATGCAGAAACATCTTTCTTTCCTTGCCAAGAACCTGACTGTATAGAAATGATAAGACATGTGTAGGACTTCTGTTATTAGGAGATTTATGGTATCTTAGAAAACAAACTTTATGTAATAATCCTAGAGACGTCATTCCCTTTTAAAGGTTATCTTCTGCCAAGTAATCCAACAAAAAATCCTTGAAAAACATTGCATGCTTTTAAAATCTAAAGTTATTTTAGACTACAATTTAATTTAACTACCAGTGACTGAACACTAGCATTAATAATTGATGACAGAGAAGTCTGTTAAAAAAATTTTAAACTTCCTTTTGAAAGAAAATGTCCTCATTGGAGAAAAATGTTACTTAATGGTTCTACAAAAGTTGAAGTGACATACAAGTCACATGTCACCAGATTGCATAATTCAAGTGCTATGTTGTGCTATGTGTTTGTGGTTGATGCAATCAAGATATATTTTCAATTAAATAGTCAATTTCATGGTTCATTTTACAGCTTTGCCAAATGATATGCATTCTTGTCATCAATAAAAGTAAATTCAGATTGCCTCAGAGCTATAAATGGAAACAGATCATCCAGGAAAGATCAGCTACATGAGCTTTTGCAGACGATGGTGGTAGAATCTTGTTATTTTCTTGTAAAATATGGATGTCTATGAAGAACTTTTGCTATAAACCTTGTACTAGAGCCTTGGGGAAAATTGATCTTAAGGCCATGGAAACTTGCTCTTTAAGCCCTGGAAACTTGCTCTTTAATCCATGGAAACTTGCTATTAAGGACATGGAAACTTGCTACTAAGGACATGGAAACTTGCACAAAAGCCATAAGTAAAGATCTTAAAACTGATGTGGAAGAAAGTAACTACGTATCATACCATATCAAAAGAATAAATGACTTTTCTCATTACATGACTTCATAAATCCCATAGACCTTTATTGAAGTTAATTGACATTTCAAGACAGTGTATTTCTTTGATAAAATTAATTAAATTTCATTGATTTAGAAACCAGTTATCTGGGCATCTTTTTCCATAACCTTCTATTATCTTTGACAGCAGATATTTATGGATTAGAAAGGAATCAGACAAAGGTTATGGCTGATTTTAATTATCTTAGGACAAAAAACAAATCATTTTCTTATTCATGGGAATGTCCAGCTTTAAAAATATCCATAAGAGCTAAAATTAGTTTTCTAATGTCATTCAAAACAAAATTAGAACCTGATTAACATTCTGACAGAGTAGTGTTCAGGTTTCAGCCAGTATGCAATAGTTTGGGGACCTTGAATACGTTTTTCCACTTGATTTGAATAATCAATAATCCAGACTCGTCTTGGCAAGATCCGGATTTTAAGTCTTTAACCTAATTTACAATTAAAATGAAGCATATGAATGATCTTTAATTTTATTCCCTGAGAATTTCAAATCCAACCATATGTAATGCAGACAATACTATAAGCTTAAGTAATTCTCATTATCCCCATAAATAAAAATTAAGTCAATTATTATATTTCTAAAGAATTTTAAATCCAACCATATGTAGTGGAAGAATTTAATATCTCTAGTTCAGCCTATGTAATTGTGCATCACTTCACCAGCAATCAGTCAATTAAAACATGTTGAATTGTCTCGGGTTGCATGGATATAAATAAATCATGTTCTCTGCTACAGCATGCTTTGATATTCCCTTTTGATCCACAAACAAACAAAATGAATATTTCAGAAAGATTTCTACTTGAGAGACATGTTTCACTGCTTTTACGTAATTAGCCGTTTTCCTCCAACCATAAAATCAATTGTGTATAGTAATGTAATTAGACGAGAAAAACGATTAAGGAGTAAAGCTATCCTATTAGTTTGAAATGAGACAATCGATATCGGTCTATACAGGTAAAATAAATATGACAACCAATATGCCTATTATTATCTAATAAATTATATTGACTTATTATCAATATGCTGGTCTAAGTAGTTTCTTTAAGTCATATTTCAACATCAAATCAAAGCAAATATTAGGTTCATTTAGATAATCCTCTCATCCTACTTAAAGGGGCCGTGTGGTAGTGTCATGTAGACTAAATCCTTTCTCCCAGTGCTCAATAAAATATGGGGTTTTTCATTGATGAAAGATGAGTGGATTTCAGCGCTTTATAAATACATGCAGTCACTATAAATATCAAGCATAACTTCATAAAATAATGGTGAGAATTCAGAGAAAATTATTCAAGATTTTTGAAGCCAGTAGATATGACAATATAAAACAACTGGGGGAAAAGGACTTACATGACATTTAGACAGAGAAGTACATATCACATACAAGACAATATTCTCTCATTATTTCATCTGATGACGACACTGTAAATTGTGTTGAAATGTTATGTGTTTATTATTATTAAAGAAGTGTTTTTATTCTGTAGTATTGTCTTATGTTTGTGATATGTGGAGGTAGTATATCAGCAAATCAAATTAGCTATTGAGAATTTTACAAAAATGACAAAAAGCCTCATATTTCAAAAAAATTCACAATTTTAATGGCAAGTTTGACCTATTTGATGTCAGTCTATTTAAGAATAATGAAAAAGAAGTGTTTTCAGTTCTCCTTCAATGATCAAACAGGTTTCTTAGAGGTTTTCTCATGTCACACTTGAGAGGTTATTGGGATATTACACAATATCTCTGTATGATTATTTCATCAGTTTTCTTTATGATATATTGTTGTCTATATTGGCTCTCTGGGCATACAAGTTAAAAGTGTTCCTACTTCACAACAACTTATTGCACTAATCAATCTTGCAAGTCAGCCAATGATCTTAAAACCCACTGGTCAATTAATTTGTATGGTCATTGAGATGATGGTTGAACGAAATTAAATGAACTAGGTACAATCTGTAATTCTAGGTTACTTTATGATCTGTATTGCTTATATGTGGCTAATCATATCAAGTATTATAATCTGTTTTCTCCTTTTTCTAACATTGGACGCTAACAAATTGATCAATGAATGGCACAAAACAAATAGCATGTACCTGTAACAACAAGTAATATACTTCGAAACATCAGCGCTGAAAAGGCTGCTTTGGTATGTATCACCTAATCCAGAGCAAGTCCAGTAGAGCAGCCGCTAGCATTGGAAGTTTGATATCCTGCAGTTATCTGTTCATAATAATGAATTCTTTACAACCTGTGATTTGAATATGATTTATTATGATAAATGATACCATCATTAGATGTCCAACTGCTCTATTTGAGTATTTGATCCCACATAAGTTTCATGCTTCTATGTGTAACACATGACTCTACCTCAAAAAGAAAATATCAAGTGTCATTTCAGTATGAAAAACTAACCTGCATCTTTTTCATGATTTATCTATCATTTTTACGGTATTCTTTAATTACTCTGTACACATGTTGCATTATAATAAATTATGAATATTGAATCTCTTGTAGATCTTCAATATTGAAACTGTGCATGTGAATCACTTGTATGTATTAAATGATAAATTGCATCATGTTTTTTTTTTTTTTTATAAAAAACTGTTGAGTTATAGGGTTGAAATATTAAAGATTCAAGTTCAGAAATGCATTGAAGATGTCCATGTCCAGTTTTATCATTAATGTAGTCAAAACAAAGTCTTTTATCAAAGTTTAATAATACACCATTATAACATGGATACAAACATGTGTAATTGATAAGACATACATGTATATATACAAAGAAAAAAACTTCTTATTAATGATAAACTATTTTTTCATTTGATTATTTACATCAAATTCACTGGATTTCCTGGACCCAATAGCACATCCTATATCATGTTCACATAAACTGAACTGATAAACAACAGCAGATGTTGTCTATAGGTGTACTTATTTACCTCCAATTCAAATCATACTCCATTTAAATCAGGAGTACATCAATGTAACTAATGACCATTATGTTGACATCCAAGTTAAATCAGGTACAAATGTTTAATAATGGCAGTCCATAGAAGGTTTGATCATATTGCCAGTCTAAATGTATTCCTAACTGTACACAATATAAAAACATTTTATACCAATATGTCTAGGTATCCAGAACATAAGATTTCAGGTAACCAGACTCTTTGCAATGAATGTAAATCTCATATAATGTGATGTCCTGTAGATTCAGTCTTTTCAAAATTTCTTAAATTATAGAGAAATAAGAGTGTTTAACAGAAACTTTTATGTATAAAATGGCAATATTGTTAGGAAGCATGATTTGGAAGCTAAAAGAATTCTTTAAACACCATCAGCCACACTAACTGAATGGAGAACTGCCATACCAAGTTGAGCCAAGTTACTAATTCTATAAACAAACAAAACTTCATAAACCCCTCCTGTTTTCTTGAATAACTCTAACGAAACCCTTCTTTATTACCTATGTTTTATAGCACGCTATGTGGTCAATTGAATGAAATAGTTTATGAACTAGATTGAAACTTCAAAATGAACACTGCCACACCTTTTTATACAATGTTTTATGTTGGACACAGTTTTTGAACAACTTCAGTTATGTGATCCCAAGGTGTGATCTTGTGAAGAAATAGGTTTTATTATTCCGTGGGGGCTTTCAAGTCTATGTGCCTGAAGACGACGAGAGAAACATGTTGAAACATTGCCTAAATCTTGAACCAGTGATTATTATTGTTCAATAAAGAATACAAGTACATAAACCAACCATATTATCTATTATTACAAGGCTACACACTGAATAGAATAGAACAATGTAGATGGATAATCCCTTCAAGCTCATTAAATATTCCATCCTAATATTTGTACCTTATTCTTAATGTTCATGATCATCTGAAGAGCCTGGAATCTTATTAGTATTTTTAACAACATGACAAATCATATATACATAAAAGCCAACCTATTGAGCAAATGAACAAGAGTACAGTCAATGCAGAATTTGCTTCAATGAGTTAGCTTACTTTGCATGAATCTGAAACATGAATGGACAGTATGTGATGAGCTCATGTCATATAGAAATGACTGTTGTTATTTTGTTCAGTCATATCCTTAATATTTGTTTTTATCCATTATATAAGTCCATGGTGTAGAAAAAAATATGAAGTGTAATAAAAGTTTGACTTGGTGAATAGGTTTGTATAGCTTTTTGTGTTATATGACCCATACCACCACAGAAATAGTTGAATATACCACAGTCAAAGTCTAATTGTTAACCACGAAATATACAAGTACTGAATGACCTAGGGGCGATTTGTACTAGTCATTTCAATAATATCCTTCTATAGTGTGTATATATGATTATTAACAGACTTATATGATATAAATAATCAGTACTGGCTGATCTTATACAGTCTATATATATATATATATATACCAATAGCTTGAGTACTCACACATTCCATACATATATAGTGTATATTATTACACCCACTATCAAGTAGAGCACAATGGAAATAGTAAAGTTGTTTATTGATGGTTGTATAAAGATGTAAATACATGTACAGAGTCTAGACACGATGCAGAGATGATAGGCTTCTTCTATTATCTACTGTATCTATAATCCTCCACTATATACACTGCACCAGACACCTCATCTATTCTCAACTTCTAACTCATGGATGTCTAAATGAAACCTTTTCATCTATGCATCTTTAAGAACTTAATGAAATATATAGTTTGGAATACTGCTGATGCAGCAAATAACCTAATGTTTTATCCTATAGGTATAGTTTTTATTTAAACATCCATCATTAAAACAGAAGGATCAAAAGATGCCTTCTTTTAGACAATACAAAATCTCGATCCAAGAACATTAGGCTACCAAGGGCCTTAAGTCATGAATAAGCTTACTTCAAGGGCCTTAAGTCATGAATAAGCTTACTTAACATAAGATGAGTGCTCCAGTCATCTGGTCAACCACTCAAATCAATTTTAAAATGAGTTTTAATATCCAATCAGATGATCGTATTTGTTAAAATCTGAATTTTTCTTAGTTAAGTTTTTGACTTTGAGAATAAGGCCCCAGCAATAGTATATTTATTCTGATATTTGTCACTATTGCGGTATTTTTGTGACAGTATTTAATCAAATTAAAACAGAAGACTAAGTGTGTCTGTATTTCTTAATTCTCTGAACAATTAACAAAAAACAGTTAAAAAATGAGAAGGTTGAAACAATGTAATTTGCTGAAATGCCAAGGTGTTCCTGGGATTTCTCCTAGAGATAAAATATACCTTTGGAATTCTCCCCACGGATCTGACGAAAACGGAATTGTAGAAAAAAAACATCAATTCAATCTAGAATTTAAAATTCCATTAACTTTGTCTAAATCACGAGAGAGTTTTCAACTAATTCTAATGAGATAGGGACAAGTTATAAATTATTTACATTCAAGGCTCATTTTAACAATTTTCCAAATGCGCTTGGCAGACATATCAAGTTCAAGTGTGGTAACTATGGGAAGATTTTTGGTATCTTATGTCTAAAAATACTTTTGCTTTAAAAGTCGTCTATAAATCATCTGTGACTTATTAACTCTATCAATTCACTAGTTTTATTTTCAAAACTGTCTACAGAATGTCTGTGCCTTCTTTGCACTATTGTGTTGGTTTTGGTGAGCAAACACTTGGCTGGACGTTTTGCAATGTCCACTACCAAAACTGACCTGCTTTCTCCTGGCCAGAGCCAAACTTTGTTTACATATTTACTGGGAATAAACATCATTGTCAACAGTCAAACAACAAACACCCTGTGTTCATTGAAAATAACTATTTTTTCCGTCAATGAAAGTCTTAAGCGGATATATTGACAAACGTCTTTTAAATTTTACCCTTGGTTAAAAGAGGTCAGTATGGTTTTGGGTAACTTTTAACTGAATGTAGAGCAAAAACTGTCACTCATTCCATTATAGAAGTAAAAAACAATACAAGTGAAATAAGTGGAGCAAAATAGATGAAGTCGGTAAATAAGTTCATCCAAATCTGATCGAAAGACAACAATTCAGTAAGGAAATGACCCATTCAGCTGCTTACTCCTGATTTCACCATTTTTGATACATCTGATGGTACTTCCCTTAACAGGGGTCCACTACTAAACAACTTTTACTTTCCATTTTGTCATACTTTGGACAATATTTTGATATACTGAATTGTCTAGCTTGTACAGATTTGTATTGTCAACTAAGCCTATTGTTCAGAAATTGAAAGCTGTGGTACACTAAATGAACTAGTAGAACAGAGGGCCTTGATAAAAATCTTCTAATTGCCCCTTATTGTTTCAAGAGCAAGCTTATTTTATACAGTTAGAATTAGGTAAAATATTCAAGTTGTCTGTTAGTCTAGTAGCTTCTCTCAGAAGAAATAAAATCTTGGGAGGTGATTTATTACCTGAGATATAAGACTGTAAAATACACAGTAAACCAGTAAATACTTGTATAGCTATCACCTAGATCCATCTAATATTTACACATCTTATTATCAGATTCCAAATGACAAAAAACATTATTTATTTCCGATTGGTGCTCCGATATACACCAATTTACCATTTGGACATTCAAATACCACCATTGATGTTTTCCTAATTATTCATTTGGGAAGTGTAAAAAAGTGAAAAAGCTAATCTCTTGTCGGCGAGTAATCTCTTCATTTACACATTAGAACATATCATCAGTTCAAGCAATAAAATAGTCGGGGAAAAAAAAACTTTGGTACTAATATCCCACGAGACTGGAGTGATATGACTCATCTACTACAGACATCAAGACTAGAATTCTAAACTGTTTTTTATATTTAAATCTTTAAACATTTTCCTGCAGACATAAAGTTGTATTCCCGCTACTTTGTAATTTTTAATTTAATAAATTCAGTCTCCAATGTATTTAAGGCGTCTGAAAAGCTTTTAGATTCAAATTAAGAATTAAGTTACGTATTACATATTTCTTCTTTTAGCAGCAAAAATATCATTGCATCACTCTATATTCTGGCATGTTTTGCCCATAGTATCTTCTTGGGGTGGCTCTTTGTCCGATTATGACCAAAAATCGTTTTTTTTAAATTTGTATAAAAAGGATGCACACGTTTATCAATTTTTTTTAGATTTTAAAAATAACATTTATCCAAACTGCAATCCTATATGTCACAAACCAAGGGGGACATGAAATAAGTTTAACAACCCTCCAGGATCATTTATAATGACAAATGTGTCATGGTAATGTTTAAAGCAAGTAGAGAACTTTCTGACCAGTTCATTGTATAATCTGTCTTCAGAGAAACAGAATTCATTCAATGCACTTTAAATGCAGTGCACAATCACTTGAAAACTGTTGTATATTGCATTTTAACAGATGTGCGTGGGTTTAAAAAAGA